AGCAGAAAAAGGAAGACAGATATGGAGTCAGCGTTCCATGCTGCCTCGAATGGTATGCAGCTTGTCTGGATTGGCCGCTTTGACTTGACCATTCTCTTGTAAAACTGGCTTCGCGATGAATTGCATGCATGTTCTCGTTTGTAATACTGGTAATATTTATCCTTAGTTAGTCAGTTTATTTGCTTACATAGCTTATTGATCCCATATCATTTTGTAGGTAGGCCCAAATGCAAACAATATTTTTAATAGCTGTGCATGATAGCAAAATTATCCAATAATTTGATTGAGGAAGCTTAATCTCGTTTTCCAGTGTTTGTATATGCACAACAATGTATTTATAGGATAATTCAGATATACACCCGTCGAAAAGCTGAGATGTTCGCCTATAAAACTGCAAGACTATAAGGAATAAAGTGATTTTTCTTACAATATTCTAAAGTGACCGTTTGCTTAGAAAATCATGCTCTACTCAAGCCTCGGTAAGCCCGGCTTCAAGTCCTCCACAATCACGCGCAGGCTTTCAACAGCGTTGCTCAGATTCTTTAGCGAATTCGTTCCTTCCATTTCGATCAGCTGGTCTGCTAGCTCCTGAAATTTATCAATTGAAAAAGATCGTATAAAGAATCAAACTAGTGGAAAAGCTTAGTCAAAGGCCGCATGATTGTTCAGGCCCACCTTAGCAGCGTTATAAGCCGGATACAATTTTCCAAAGAATGTCCGCATCCTTACAAGAGCGCCAAATAGATGAACTTGCATGTTTTCCATATGTTTTTGCTTTTTGCGTGGTCTAGAAGCAAATGAAACAATGTTGTTGTTCATGAGAGCAAACAAATATACTAACGTCTTGCAGGCTGCATCATAGTCGGCAAGAACGCAATTTAATAATATTCTTACTGCAAATATATAAAATTATCGGAAAGTGTTGTAAAACTGTTACGGAAGCATACGGTACTTTGCTCAGGTGAGAAGTGTAAACCACGCTTTCGTTGACATTCCAGCACTTCTCCATACAAAAACGATCGCTCCTTTGGTTCTAGAATATTTTTTCAAGACACACAGTTGGTTTCCCGATATACGAAGACCGTAAGGAGTAACGAAGAAAGTAAGAGAAACTGAGCCTTTCACTAAAATGGCTCCAATGATGATAAATCTATTTTCTCAGCGACATATGACAAACCATTTCCTCCCACTGATCCCACATACATCTCAGCTATTGTCTCAATGATTTTATGTCCATCAGGCAGAGCATTTCGATACTGTCTATAATCCTTCACATTTGGCAGCGACTTCAAAATCAGCTGAAAGAGGGGAAACGTAAATTTCTTGTGCTGATGGAGTCGAGTATCAAATTACATCAGGATGTTCTATGATAGGCTCCAACTTGTCGTCAATGGAGTTGTCTGTTAAGCAAGTCGGGCATTCACAAGTAAATCCACGGCCAGCTAAGAAACCCTGAAAGTTCCACTGGTGCTGAAAATGCTGTAAAAGATCTTATGCTTACAGCACGTTCTTGCTTCGTTTGTTTGAAAAATGAAGCACCATAGTTATCGCAGATTTCCTCACCCTTTCTTATACCCGTACTGATGAAGATCAGTTTGTTTTTATGGAAACTGGAAATTCTGATTTTATGTGAAGTTATTGATGTGGATAGAAGCGGGGTACTTACAAGCTATTCACATTTGCACGACAAGAATGGTTGAAGCAGCAAGCAATTGGAAAAAGGCCTACGCCAGACGGCATTGGTGGTACTGCACCTCTAAAAAAAAATAATAAACGATTCGTTTACAACAGAAATAACCAAGGGGATAAGGAGTGACCTACTCAGCATGCCTTTCCAAGCTATCCACAAAGTAGAT